TTGTGGAGAGGAGATTTAGATTTAAAATGCTAGATCTGTACTAAAAGGCACTATTTTAAAAGTAAGCATTTATAAGTAGTGTGTAAAATAGTACTAAAAGGCACTATTTTAAAAGTAAGCATTTATAAGTAGTATATAAATATCATTGCTGCCTTACTGTGTTCTTTTTGACAGTTCTGTACCTAAATTGAGGAGAGCTATATGTGTAATCTTTGTAACTCAGTTTTTTTGTCTTTTAGGAAGAGTATATAATACATTTTTAAATAATGATATGTTTTGATTGGTTTTAGGTTAATTTTTTAACTGCATCAGAAAATCGATGGTTTGATTAATGCTTACCGAAGTGAGTAGAACCAAATACGGCAATCTCATATCCATTGTCATTAGGATGTGAGGTTTTCCAGAGAAGTGATTTTTCTAGATAAAGGAAGCAAATATTTTTAAGTATTACAATTATAGTGAGTAGGTAGATCCTCATTAGCTGAGTATATGCAGCATTATTTAACCCTGTGATTTCAGTGCAGCTTTGTCTTGATGATGTTATACATTTAGTGATGTTGTTGGGGAGCTGTGTCTGTGCTTGCCTCCCCCCACCAACTATATTTGTAGTTTCTTACAAGAATTTTGGAGATTTTGTGATCTTGGAGATTAGATTTATACCTCAGGTAAGAACATATGAGGAGGCTTCAATAAGTTCCATTAACTTTAATTCTGTTTGCCCACAAACTTATGTGAGAATAAGACCTTTTTTATGAACCAGCCTTTTTGTGTAGTATATATTGTGGCTACTAAGAGATTTTTTTCCAACTCATATTTTCCTATCCTTTTGGGTCCTGCATAGATGAAATTGCTGATCATGTGATTTTTATAGAATTGAGGCTTTCTTTTCTTTTTAAAATGGGAAATTCTTTGCTATAAAAGTATTTTTTATCACAATAAAAATTCTTTCAATATTAACCGGAAGAATAAGTAGTAATTATTACATTAGGTTTAGAATATATAGCTACTACTCATTCCTGCTCCTGAGGCTTTATTTTCTTATGATATTATTGTAGGCTTACTTTTATTCCACATAACTAAGTGAATTGTGCAGTTTGATTTACAATATTATAATAAAACCAATGTCGCCAGAATCACATAACATTCATATTTCTATAAAAAGTGTGAATTTTTTCATGTACTGGTATTTTGATTTAATACTTAAAGTGCCTTCATCCATTCTTATGACGTGAATATTGTTATGCATAATTTGCCATTTTTGAAAACATTAAATTAATGGTTGCAATTGATTTAGCAAGAGCTTGAAAGAATGGATTATTAAGCTAGAAAGTTGAATTTGTGATATGTACTTAAATTATATTACCATTTATTTTAAATTTCAGATTTTGTGAGCATAAGGTTTTGATTAATTCAACTTTATTTTCATTAACTTTAAATTCAAGAGTATTTTATTCATCCAATTGAGTTACCATCTTTAATATTTGGAGAATAAGTTTTAGAAGGAAGTTACTGTTTAATTTTAAATGTGATAGATAAGTGCACAGAATTTTTTAAAAGACCCTATTTTCTAGTAGAACTTACCTTTGCTTTTAAACATGGGAAAATAGTATCTGCTGTAAAGCTTTAGCGAACTTTAGAACTAGTTCTGTTACAGCAAATTATATGTGTGAATTTTCTTATAATTAATTTTTGTATGAATTTTGTGAGTAGGTGGCAAGGACTAGCTGTAAAAATTCACGTAGAATATTTAAGAATATAATTCTGGCTCTCAAAAAAAATCCTTTGTAATGTTTATGAATCTTAGCAGAACTGCTCTTAAAAAAATTAAAATACACAAACTTTTCTGTGTTTTAGTTACTCAGTGATATATGATTTTTTAGTTTTTAATTGTAAATCAGGTGGAGTTTATATTTTGGATTGCCAACTTTATATTTAGCAGTTTAAACTACTAAATAACCACCCTCAGTAACAACCTCCACCCATTCCTCGATTTCTCTTTCCTCTCTTGTGGACTACTGCCTTCTACTCCACCCAAGTTAACACCTGTCAGCCTTCTCTCCCATTGCTTTATTTCCTTGCCTTGTCTCCCTCCCCCTTAGGCAGTCTCCAAAGTCTGTTTCCTTTAATATGAATGTATTTATCTTTTTTTTTGTAAAACAGTGGTCTCATATAATAATTGTCCTTTTGTGATTGACTAATTTTACTCAGCATGGTATTTTCCTGGTCCATCCATATCATGAGGTGCTTTGTTTTTTCACTAGTTTTTAACAATGCATAGTGTGCCCTTGTATGTATGTATATTTAATGAATGTTTAAACACAGGCATTTTACCCTCAGATGATTGGGTGTTAAATCTATTCATAATTAGTTTGTGTTTCCTGATTATTAAGTTTATTTATCCTTTCTATGGTTTAATAATGTCATAACCATTTTTAAAAATAGAAAAACAGTTTGGACAAGTGCCTGGCAACAAGCTGGGTAAAATAAAATTTTTAAAATGATATTGATTATTGGAGAAATAAATTTACATGTACTATGACTTAATTTTATCTATTACATAAACTGACCACTATTATAATTCCAGAAGGAGCTCTGATGATGTAGTGGGTTATGTGTTAGGCTGCTAACTGCAAGGTCAGCAGTTCGAAACAACCAGCCATTCAGTAGAAGCAAGATGAGACTTTCTACTCTTCTAAAAAGTTCCCGCCTTGGAAACATAGAGGCAGTTCTACCCTGTTCTGTCGGGTTGCTCTGAGTTGAAATTGACTCAATGGTGTTGAAGTAAATTGACTTGATGATAGTGAGTTTGGCTTTTGGTTTTGCTAGTGTCTTAGTCATATTATTCTGTTGTACAATAATTTTTATTCTCGTGGTTCTGGAAATACATAAACTGAGGCTTGCCCTCAACTACTGTTCTAAAGGTTGGTGGTTCAAGCCCACCTATTGGCCCTGAGGAAGAATGGCCTCGCAGTCAGCCTTCGTAAAGAAATCCTGTGGAATAATTCTGTTCTGCCTCACGTGGGTCTCTCTGAGTGGAAATTGATTCCATGGTGGGGTTTTTTGTTTGTTTCTTTTTAAAATTATATGAGTACTGCTTTGCTGATTATGAGAAAATAAAATAATATTCTCTAATGTTCTCAGTTAAATCATTGTTGTGCACCAGGATATTTATTGTGTTCTTGGAATGAAGTGGGTTGGGAATATAGCTATTTCATGTATGAAACTGTTAAAGAACATTATATCATGTTGATTTGGACTTATGACGACTCCATGTGTGTGGAGTAGAAGTGTACTCCTTTGGGTTTTCAAGGCCACGACCTCAGGGAAGCTGATCACCATCCTTTCTTTGCAGGACTGCTTGCTGAGAGGGTTCAGACTACCAACCTTTTGGTTAGTGGTCTAGAGTTTACTATTTGCATCACCCAGGAACTTTATCAGCTGCTGTTGTAGGGATTTGATTTGTGATATGAATATATTTTACACTTTGTGTCCATTGTGACAAAAGATTACCCACCCTGGTTTGTATGAGGTACAGGACCCTCAATTTAAAACTGGCTAAACCAGGCTAAGTTTATCTTTCTAAATTTACATTAAGTTAACACCCATATTACTTGTTAAATTCAGTTTCCCTTATAGAACTTTGAAATATTTGTGAATTTTAATGGACCTCCTCTTAAAAATTATCCCAAAAAGCCAGCATTCTCTTAGCCCAGAATAGACATGAGAGAGAAGAGGGGGGAAATCATGTTTGAGAGGAAAAGGCATGTTTAAATAGCTATAAAGGCAAATTATTATCAATGTAAAAGATTATTAGGATGTTGCACAAAGTTTGTTAATGAAAGGAAGAGGTATTTATTAAACTACGACTTATTTACAAGTGTTAATATAAGAAAATACGTAGGTTTATTTGTGAAGACTAAATGTGCTTGTGACGAGTCTGGGCATGACTCTTGGGATACGAGCTGCTTTCTTTTGGCTGCTATTTGTATGTCACTTGTTTGCTCATGCTGTGACAAGTGGCTTTATGTAATTGTTAAGTTTTCTTCAACAATCTAAGTTAAAGTACCCAGGTATTTATGAAATGCAAAGAATTTCTGCATGTGTCATATAACCAGTAGTTAGCAAAGGTAGATTTGGAGCCTAGGATTCCTATCAAGTAGTTAATCAGACATATAAACTGGATCCTAATTATATGATAAAGGAGCATCCATGGTGTTCTCAGGCAAGCAATGGAATGCTAACCCTAAGGGCCTTGGTTTACCCATCCCCTTCCATGGGCAGAGGTAAATCTTTACAATCTACTTTGTAAAGATTTAGAGCCTAGTAGGAAGTGGCTCAATTGCATTGGGTTTTAATTAATCTGGTAAAGTCTCAAAAGGAAGATCATCTTTGTTGACCTTTGAGACATATAAACCATTGTTTTTATAATAAATGAATTCTTAAACTAGGGACTTCAGAAGGTTCATTGGAAAATTGCATTATCTTCAAATGCCATGTTCCCACAAGCTTTTAGAAGTCCCCTCACATTATAAGAAAGATGTTATATTCAGTTGTGTAGAGTTATGCTGTTTTTCTGATCTGTGTCTTCATAACCAAAATCCAAGTTCTCTGCCATCAAGTTGATTTCAACTCATAATCCTATAGGATACGGTAGAACTACTCCATTGTGTTTCCAAACCGTAAATCTTTACAGGAAGAGAAAGCCTCCTCATTTTCCCATGGATCCCTTGGTGGGTTTGAACTGCTGATCTTCTGGTTAGTAGCTTATGTGTTTTCATAAGTACTGTAGAAATAGCTAGAAAAAAGTAAGATAGCTTGATTTGTGCAATGTCTTAATATTAGTAAAGGCTCTTTTGGTTTTGTTTTATTTGCCTCACATTATGTTCAAATATTCTGAAATGATATTTTGTGTTACTTAGCAATTTAAAAACCACATTATATTTATTATATTCTATTAATTTATATTACACATAACTTTTGACTGTGTCTGTATCCTTTAGGTAAAAAGAACGTATTCTCATGGTACTTACAGAGCTGGCCCGATGCGACAAATCAGCTTGGTGGGAGCAGTTGATGAAGAAGTGGGAGATTACTTCCCTGAGTTCCTTGACATGTTGGAAGATTCACCGTTTTTAAAAGTAAGGAAAAAAGCAGTATCAGCTATCTGAATTGCGGGTGCTACTTTCATATTACAGATGATAGAAATAAAGGCTATTACGGGATCTGAATTGAAGGAAAGGAAGGCATGGGAAACCAAGTCATTCTTATGTGTACGTCTATCCTCTCAAGTACTAATTATAATGTCAGATGACCCGTAAATGACACTGTTACTACCACTCTAAATAATTGGCTTCCATCTATTGATCAGCTCTTTATGAACTGAGTACCAAAGAATTAAGGAATTATAGGAAGGAAAATTGGTTTTGTACCTCAGGCTTGGGTAAATATTTTAAAATTGCTGGATTTCAGTTTCTCCAGAAAACAACACGCAAAGCTCCATCATGAAGGAGCTGTGGTGACATAATGGTAACTCTTTGGGCTTTCTAATACTCTTGGACACCCAGGGGGTGTTGTGGGGAGTTTGACCCTCATAGGGTCGCTATGAGTCTGTATCCACTCAATGGCAGAGAATGAGAGAGAGATTGAGATTCACTATGAGAAAAATGAAACTGGCTGCTAAAGTAAATAAAGATAGCCTTAGGAACCTTGTGAGGGTCACTGTAAGTCAGAATTGACTTGATGGCTTTGGGTCTGGAATCTAAAATTCTTTAACTGATTTCTAGCTGGAATTCTTCAGAATTCTTGGGTTTTGTGTTTTTATTTTGGAAAGATGGAGTAAGGATGTTTATTTTGCAGTAGTGTTTGTTTTCCAGAAAATATTTATTTTTTGTGGACTGCTGGGACTATTCCAATGAGAGAGAAGTCTCTGGCTATATAATTAGGTTAATTCTTTACTCAGTAATAGAAAGTTAAATGTTTGAGTCCAAGGAAGGAGCAAAATCTGCCAAGGCCAGCTTCTCTCACTACATCGGCTTTTGCACACTTTTGCTGCCTTCACGTCTGTTCATCTCCCCCTGCCACCACCTTCTTTGTGCCCCATTCCCTTTCCTTTTCCTTCAAAACCGTGCTTCCTTTTCTGTTTCTCCCAACTAGTCAGATTGCAGTTTGTTATATTTATTATTGAATGATATTTTAAAAATATTCTTGGATATTAGTTATATTCCAATATTTTTCATTTTAAAAACAAATGAATCTAAGTATATTCTTTCTTGAGAATTGAAGTTGACAATCCTGTGTTTTTGAAAGTGGGTATGAATGAAACGCTTATTCAGTGCTATTTTCATCATTCCGTGACAGTGATTTTCACTTAATTGTCAATCTTGAGAGATTTTAATCTCTGGTTTAGGCCAATAATCTCTTAAGGAACTACTGAATGGAAGTAAATTCTGATTTGGGCTTAGTTTTTTTTTGGTTGGATTTTTGTCATCACTAACCCAGAGGAATTTTTTTTCCCCCAGAGGTATTTTTAAATTCGTATTTAATCGTTTCTTCTCATAGTTTTTCATGGTGAATACTTATTTTGTCACTTTACTAACTTCAAAAGATATATATGTATATTTATTAATTGTTTTATTGATAGCTCATATAACTCTTATCACAATCCATTACATACATCCATTGTGTCAAGCACATTTGTACATATGTTGCCATTTTCAAAACATTTTCTTTCCACTTGAGCCCATGGTATCAGCTCATTTTTCCCTCCCCTCCCTTCCCTCATGAACCCTTGATAACTTATAATTCTTTTTCATGTCTTACAAGATCATATATTTTGTAGAAGGAAAACTAATAAACAATGACTGCCGTGAATCATGCACTTACCAGGGTCAGGAACTAGGTGGGAATCAGAACTATTTAAGGGAACATGTATCAATATAAGTGTATGTTTGTTACTATATATTACAAAAGTATACCAATAAGTCTGTTAGAAAGCATGTTTGTGAAGGGATAATATTCTTCAATGTGTATTTAAAGAACCATTTAGAAAAGCATTGGTGCCTAAGTAATTATTTGTTTCTAGTGTACACTGCCCTGGGGGACACTGTCTAGCTTGAAATTAGAGACTCGAAAAGACAGTGATGATGGTCCTATCATGTGGGTTCGGCCAGGAGAACAAATGATCCCTGTGGCGGATATGCCAAAGTCACCCTTCAAGAGGAAAAGGTAGGTTGGATATGATTTTTTTTACCTGGGGATGAGTGTGTGTGTGTGTGTGTGTGTGTGTGTGTGTGTGTGTGTTGAAAATTGGAAGAAGGAAAGTTTAGAGCATAATTGGAATATAAATTGAAAAATAGCTATCTGATAGAATTTTTTTTAATGCAAAACAATGTAAATAAGCCATGAGATTATAGGGAAATAACAGTAAATTATATTTAGGAATAAAAAAAGTCATTCACAACAGAGACAAATTAGAAACTATTTTAAGACTAAATTTAAAAAGCAGTTCCTAGGTTATAAACATCCTATTTATAGACACCCTTACTTGCCTTGTAAAGCTATGTAAATTTGCTCTCAGTTTGAAATGATTAAACCAGTTCCTCTTTCAGCACAACCATCTTATTTTTTTCGTTCACAACCATCTTATTGTGCTGCATGTTCAGCTTTTAAATACTTGAAAAGGTTTTCAGCTTTGTTTTTCACTAACTGATTGCTGTCAAGTCAATTCTGACTTTATAGAACAGAGTAATATTGGACTATAGGATTTCTGGGGATCTACAATTTTATGAAGGTAGACCGCCTCATCTCTCTCCCTTATAGAACAGCTGGTGGGCTGAAGACACTGACTTTTTTATTAGTACCCTCTAATGCCTAATCCCGTAGTCTTTGTGGTGTAATGTTTATTTGTTGGGCTGCTGACTGCAAGGTCAACAGTTCAAATCCACCAGCCCCTTTATAGAGAAAGACGGAGCTTTCTCCTCCCATTAAGTGTTACACTCACGAGTGCAGTTCTACCCTGTCCTATTGGGGTCGCTAAGAGTTAGCATCAACTCAATGGCAGTGAGTTGGTTTTGCGTTTTGGAATGCTTAAGGCACTACCGAGGCTCCATTTCATCCAGCAAAGTAAAACTAAGTTGAACCATATGCACCTGTGACCTAAAAATTCTTACACAGCTGGAAATGAATCATAGTCCCTTCCATTATCATAATCAAGGATTACCTATATTTAGAAAATTAGAACATTTTATGGAGGATATAAAATAAGGTCTAAACCACCGGAGCCTGAGTAGTCGAGAAGCGCGATTGAAACCTTTTTACCATGCATTAGTGCCCCTACTGGTATTTGGATTAACTGTTGTTATGGCTTCCATGATCAAAGCAGCATGTAATCCACCCCAGTATCACAAACTGACAGACAAGGTTGAGTGCCTAGATGGTAGCTAGAAATATAATAGGTGTTCTGTAAATATTGAATGAAAAAGGTAACTGGTTGCTACAGCTATATATCCTTATTAGCCATATGATCTGAGAGAGTCATGGCCCCACAGATTAGATCCAAACCCAAGATATAAAGAGTCAGGATATAGGGGAAACTGAGTATGTTATAGCATCTGTTATTTGCTCAAGTAGGTATTTCTTCATAGCTGATATTTTGTGAGGAATGTCTTGGATAAAGGAGATTATATGTGTGTTTATATTCTTACTATATGTTACCATTTTTAAAATAGAACTTGATTTGGAAGGAGATGAGTTAAAATTCTCTTTTGTCTGAATTAAATTATTGTAAAATGTGTGATGGCAGTAAAGCCTGATTACATAGGATATTTAGGGTTAATTTTTTTCTATCAGTATATATGTATAAAAATAAAATGAATTTTTAAAACAGAACTACCAATGAAATAAAAAACCTGCAGTACCTACCTCGAACCAGTGAGCCCCGTGAGATGCTCTTTGAAGACAGGACGAGAGCCCATGCAGATCATATAGGACAAGGTTTTGAAAGACAGACCACAGCTGCTGTTGGAGTGCTGAAGGCTGTTCATTGTGGAGAGTGGTACATATTAACTACTTCTATTTTAATGAAAGATTTTCTTCACTTTTAATTTTATTCTTAGAAGGTTTCCCAATTTCTCTACTGTGGCAAAAAAAATTTTTTTTCTTGTGTTTTGATATCATAATTTTTTAACTGCAATAGAGAAGATTGTGCTTTGCTAGAATCTAGTTTTAGTCATTTGATGTTTGATTGAAATTTTATTTTTAAATATTTTTTAAGTGACTAGAAGTGAAAAAAAAATAGAGATAAACTAAAAGGAAAGTTAAGGCTCTTTGGTACTTGCTGCAAGGCAATTTACAAATGTTGCAAATGTTATTGATGTTGCCTTATTAAAATTTCTGAACTACTCTTTTGCACTAGGGGACTTCTTTTCACTCAATTTTTTCACAAACTTTTTGAAGCCCCCATGTATTTATCATTCACAGGTAGTGAGGCTCTGGGCTATCAATAGTTCTACCATAGTAAGCAGGTGGTAGAGCTGAGAGTGGTGAGAGATTTGACTCCAGACTTCATTATCTTTTTCTTTCAGCTCTGCTATCTTTCTTTCCCTTACTAAGCATCGGTCTAAGCATCAGTATTTGTCTTTTTGTGTTCATTTGTTTCTATTTCCAGTTGTGCTTTTAATTTTCCTTACCCCAAGTTTCTCTTTAAAAAAATCTAAACCCATTGCCGTCAAATAACTTTTAAAAATCATTTTATTGGGGGGCTCTTACAAATCTTATGACAATCCATCATTCAGTTGTATTCAGCACACTTGTACATACGTTGCCATCAGCGTTTCCAAAACATTTTTTTTCCTACTTGAGCCCTCTGTCAAATAACTCTTAATAGCCTTTACATTGTTTTTGGTATATACTTTCTTTCCCACTTTAGATTCACCTTGAGAGTAGAGATTGTGCGTCTGCTTTCATAGGTAACCCCAAAATGTTTGTGTAATAAAACTACTTTCGTGGTGAGCAGTGTCAGTAAAAAGAACTAATACCACAGTACTAATACATCAGATGGCTAGGCTCGAGAATATGCTTGGGGTAGGCATTGTGAGCTTTGCGGGGGGGGTTTTTGTTCACTATTGTAAAATACAATTTGCTTCCTACCTAGGTGCTTCTTTAATCTCTTAGTATTAAAGATAGCAAGAAAGTAATTTTATTACAACTATTAGGATGTCTTCAAGCTGTCACGTAAACATGGATGCAAACCCTTTATTAGTATTCCTTGCTGCTAAATTAAGGTATAGTAAGGAAGTTGGTGCCTACCCCGCCCCCTCCTATCATAGGTTTTCTTAGGAAAACATTTCCATTGTTATCAAGTCAATTTTGACTTAAAGTTGCCCTGTAAGAAAGAGTAGAATGGCTCTAAAGAGTTTCTAAAGCTATAAATCTTCATAAAAGCAGACTGCCTTTCTCCCAGAGGCTGCGGTTTCAAAGTGCTGAGCTTTCTTCAGTTAGCAGCCCAGCTGTGCAACCAGGGTTCCTCAAGGAATCAGTCAATAGGAGGACATTGTATATTCCTAGATTCTTCATCTTAGAACCAGGCCTCACAGTAACTTGAAATAAAAGATAGGGTTTAAAGTCCAAGGAATTTTCTAGTTTGATGGGAATGAAGCTTATGAGTTAGTCATCAAATATACAATTCTCTCAGGATAATAGAGAGAGTATATGTCTGTGGTCACTTCCTTGAAATCAAACTTTAAAAAATCAATTTTATTAAGTTATAACTCATGTTCAGTAAAACACTCACTTGAAATATAGTATGTCATTTGGGAAGAGCCCTGGTGACACGGTGGTTCAGAAGCTCAGCTACTAATCAAAAGGTCAAGCATTCAAATCCACCAGCCGCTCCACGGAAGACTGATTTAACAGTTTCTTTAACTATAGACAGCATTGGAAGGCCTATGGGGCAGTTGCAGTGAGTTGATATTAACTTAGTAGCCGTGAGTTTGATTTTGGATTAGGGACAGTTAGATTGCTACAATTTGATGACTTACTTTGATCGGACTGCTTTTGATAGAGACACTCAATTCAAAGAATATGCTTGTCTTCTCAGAGTACTGGCTTGATGAGAACATGCAATTTAAATATTGGCTACCTATAATGAGATGCAGCGTCAGGGAGATAAACCACATGAAGTGGTTGGTTTACATGCAGTCATGGGTGTACTAAATTTCCATATAAGTGGGTCAAGGGAGAATCCCCACTGAACAGCTTCCTCTTCTCTTGATGCGGTTGTCGAAGGGATGGGATGGAGCAAGATGGTGATAGAATTGTATGATTTAGCTGTAATATTAACAAGGTTGAGTGTGGTTATAGAAACTGTAATTTTAGAAACTTGCCGAAAGGGTGACACATAACTATGGCCAAACCTAAAGTCTTGAAGGTTTTACTCTCCTGCTACCCTATGAGGCTAAGAGCAGAAGATTGGTCTTTCTACTCGCTTAAACAGTTATAGTCTTGATAACCTACAGGGAGTTGCTATGTGTGAGCACTGACTCAATGGCAGCGAGTTTAGTTTTTGGTATAGCTCACCAAGGAGACTAGATAGCTTGCTAAGAAGGTAAATAAAGGGTCATGGCACTCATTGTGGAATGTAAATAAGGTACACAAACCCTTAATGTGAGGATTGATTAATTTTACCATCCCTCAAGGCAGAAAAAAGGGGCTGTCACTACCATCAAGAAAGAAAAGTCAGCAGTAGACCAGCTATCACTACCGGCAGAGAAGTTGAAGCAGCAGAACCTAGAGCATCAGGCAGTTAGCAAGCTTCCTGGCCCAAGTACTTCATTTACAAATGAGATGGTGTGAATAACTTCCTCTTTTCCTGATGGGGCTGGAAGAGATGGGGTGAAGGAAGATGCTGATGGGATTGTATGATTCTGCTGTGAGTAATGCTTGTTAGCAGGGTGTTGACTGTGACTGAAAACGATCATTATAGAAACTAACTGCAAGGGTGGACTAAGCAAGAGGCACTTGTGGACTGTGTAGTACAGTGACCAAACCTAAAGTCTTGTAGGCACTGTCCTGCCTACCTCCTGAGGCTCAGGGTAAGGAGATAACAATCCTCCATTGCATTTTATCAGAGGCCAGAAGGGGTGAAGATAAGACAAATTTTGGAGAACCTGACCAGATCAGAAACCTGCCTGCAGCAGACTTGAATGACTGGTACTTGAACAACTTCACCCTAAGGATCCTTGCCTACTGAAGGACTAATGACTACTTTGGACTTGTAAAACAATTGGGAGGAGGAAGTTAATCCTGTAATCACAAAAGGCCCAGTGGCTACAAGAGCCAGTTGTTATCTGTGGTGCATTAAATAATGTAATATGGCCCTTATAGCCAGAGTCTTAACTCTTACCAAGGGACTGAGTGGGACCATGCAAATGAGGTGCTTGTGGCCCACCAAGGGAATTGTCTGGCTAACTAGTAATATAAATAAGGTGCTCAGTATGGGGTAGAGGTGGGGCATGCAAATAAGGTGTTTGAAACCCTAATGAGGGAATTGGTCAGTCAGTTTACCATCCTGCTAAATTTAAGAGAGGCCGTCCCAGAGCAGATGGGGAAATCTAGAGGAAGCAATAATAGAACATGCCCTTTACATACAGGATCTATCCTCTACCCAGGAGACAGAGAAAGAGAAACTAACACTATAGATGGTGGAAATGAGACATTATGGCCAAGAAATGGCGGCAGCAGCACCAAGAGGCCTGCAGAAGATGGCATGGTGGGCTTCCTAGCCCCCACAGTGAGCTGAGTACCTTGGCATCAAGACTCACTGGCAAAGTCATGAGGTACCTTTGAGCACTTATTAACAGAGTGAAAAGAACTTTGTAACACTTTGCCTAAGCAGGGCCAGGCTGAGGGGGTTGAAGGCCAGAGAAAGACCTCCCCACAGGAGGTCTGAGAAGAAACTGTCTTAATGGAGTAACAGAATGGAGGAAGAATGGAATATTTCTAAGCTGAACTGTAGCCTGTTACTTCCATCATAAACATAACCGTGAGATCTGTGAGTTCTGTGGCCGTTACAATGAATTATTGAAGCCAGCAGAGGCATAGCGTGTGCTGTGGGAGAGACAGTGGTGTCAGACTGATGAGAAAAACTGGAGAGAGGAGTTCTGTCTGAGCTCTGCTTCAGAAGAATCAGTCTTAAGCTGGTGCTGATGGTGATTCTCTGCCTGTGGTGAAGCTCGAGGAGGTCGGGCCGGACCTCAGCCACGCTGGTTTTCAAAAGTTATGCCCTGTTTATGAAATCACAGATTCAATATTGTTCATCTTTCAGGGGGACTCTTGGAACTCTAAAACTTCTAGAAGAAATCATAGGAATTTTTGCAGTAGGCAACAATTTCATGAAGCATAAAAGAAAAAATTGGATAAGTTGGGCTTTATTACAATGAGAACTTTCTGTCCTTCAAATGATAGTTGATGAAAAGGCAAATTACAGATTTGGAGAAAATATTCTCAACTCACAGACAATAGTCCTTCAAAAAGCTCATGAAGAGTGGAATTGAAAGATGATGGAACTTTCTTTCCCCACTGCCATTTTGAAGTCCCCTATTGTTTTTTTTAAACTACTCATCTATATGAAGGTGCTTCAGAAAGCTGAGGAGCCCTGGTGGTGCTATCATTCTGGGAAGCTTTGAACTGCAAGCAGCCACCTCAGGAGAACAAGTAGTCTTCTTTTCTCCCTCAGATTTGTAGCCACAGAAACTCCACATAGGTCCTGCACATAGGGCCACTGTGAGTCAGCGACAACTCAGTGGCAATGGATTTTTGTTTAAACGTTTGTGGGAAAATTTCATTAGATTTTCTTTTCTTTTTTACATGAATTAGGATTAATCCTTTTGTGTGTATGTTTTGTCCAAATAAATACATTTTATACTTAATACCAATTGTTCATGAGGATGTAGATAAATTGGAAATTTCATACTGTTGTGGGAACTGTGAAAAGGAATTTTGGAGGTTTTAATAAAATTAAACATACATTTACCCTAAGACTTTATTTTAATAATT